CAACGGAGGTGCACGCCATTACCAGGAACCAAACCTGGGACTCCCTGGTTCACAGGTCTACTCTCTAACCACTGGGCCATACTGGCCAGGGCTAAAGTTGTATTTTAATTGAAGGGGTAATACGAAAATTATGGAAGATGGTGAAGGTGTAATTAAACTGACACAATTCAGCTCAGTTATGTAGCAGTCTTGTTATGATTTCTGAAATTGAAGACTTAACATGAAATTCTGGGATTGCTCATTGCACGTCTGATACTGAGCTTCTCCAGCCAGGTCACTGTGAAGGACTGGGGGGTTGGAGTTGGTCTGGTTATAGCTGTGCCATCATGGGTGTAGGCAGATGCTGAGAACCAAAGCCAAGGCAAATTTGTGAATTGGTGTTTATCTTTTCTCTCTGAGGTCCTCTTCCCTCTGATTCCAAGACCTTCGCTTATAGGCACCCACCCACCACTGCAATATTATGAAAAGAAAATTATTATTATGTCAAGCTCCTTACTGAAACCTGCTGTTTATGGATTCTTGTTGCTTATTTATAGTTGGATCCAAACCCTGTATCTTGATTTCAAAACTACATTATGTGGCCCCTGCCTTGCTTTCTCTTCTTTCTTGCTGCCTCTCTTCCTTTTAATCCAGTGCTATAGGCATGTTACAAAACCTTTGGTTTCTCCAGCTCAGCAGGCTCTCTCCAATCTCTGGATCTCCACCCACACTGTTACCTCTGCCTGGCGTGCATTTCCTCCCTCTCTGAGATCTGAAATTTTAATCATTACTTTTCTGGGGAGGCTGTTTCTCTCCCTCCACACTGCACTTTCTGGGTGAAGGAACATTTCTATACATGCTCACAGCCCTCTGTTCTCTCCGTATCCGCACCTCAGGAGCATGCATCTGAATCCAGGAAATTTACTCTAAAACATGTGCTGTGAAAAAGGGCTGCTTGGTGATGGTGCAATCTGTGGAAAAGTTCTCTGCATCTGGAGAAACAGATTCTAGCATGCTGTGAGAATATTTTATTTACACATGTAAAATGTTTATCAGACAATAAGTAGTCAATATATGTTGCAATAATAATAAATATTATTATACTTCTAAATGTTTGTTCATTTGTGTTTATCTCCCTCTAATTATGGGTCTTGGAGGGCAGAGCATACCCATGCTCTCTATACATATACTCTGAGCCTGTTTCATAAATGAATGGATGAGGTCATTTTGTATTACAGCCCAACCAAGGAGTCATACCACGCCAGGCCAATTTGCATGTGGCCTTTTTCCTGCTCTGATTAGTGGAAGCAGCCCTTGGGAAAGACAGTCCTCATACTTCTACATGGTGTGCAATGTGTGACTTTTGGTATATTTTGGTTGTGTTTGGCCCCATGCTCTCTCAGAGAGACCTTGAGGTAGGATGTATTGATAGGTATAATTTTTAAAGACTTAGGTGAATAAAACAGAAAATGTATGTAGGAGCTTGTCTCTGTGTATCCTGAATCCTTCTGAGGTCCAGATCTGGAGTTTTATAAGCATTTGCTGCCCATGCATTGCTGTTCATACATACCCACAACTCTTTTATTTGCAATTCTAAATTGGTTACTTGAACAAGCCATGTGCAAAAGCGTGTGTGATACAAATAACAGGATGAAACTAATGAACAGAGAAACACAACATCTTCTATTTCAAGATTAACATGGGCCCAGGGCTCTGGATTTTACTGAGATTTGCTAAAAATGAGTTTTCGAAAGAAAGAAGAATCATATAGTGTTTACAGTGTTTTTTTTTTTGTTTTTTTTTTTTTTCTCTGCTTTTCCTGGATAAAGCCTTGGGAATTTGCTTTCACTTAGGTTGCAGCTGGGCTTATTAGTGTTTTCTGATACTTGCGTATGGTTGAATGTGATACAACATAACATGATTTTAGTTATTGTACACTTAACTTGTCTGCTCAGTTTTTCTCTGTTTTTCAAATAGGTTGTCAGATTCTAAATCAATTATTTGGGTTAAAGGTTTCAACCCTGTATTACAGGCAGAGTAATGGAAGTGAACATAAGTGTGTGAATTTCTCCATTTCTATAGTTTGAGACATGATTGACTTTATGTTTTCCCCTTTCAAAAACTGTTTTTCCTTCTTCTCCCTCAGTTAATTCTAAACACAAGGTAGCATCAAAACCTTACTTAAGATTATAATACTAATTGATAAATGTAAGAAAAATGTGACACAAATTCTAACATGATAACATTGTTTTGAAGGGCTTAAATTAAATTTTTTTTTTATTCCTTACCCAAGGATATGCTTTCATTGATTTTTAGAGAAAGGGTGGGGAGATAGAGAAACATAGATGTGAGAGAGAAACACTGGTTGCCTCCCATATGCATCCCTACTAGGGTCCATTCAATAACCTAGGTATTTGCCCTGATCAGGAATTGAACCCTCAACCTTCTGGTGTATGGGATGACCCTCCAGCCAACTGAGCCACAGCAGCTAGGGAAAAGGGCTTAATTTTTATTAGCAAGAATGTTGTGGATAAGTATTATATATACCAATACCTTCTGTATCTAACGAATGCTTTGCATGTGAATGGAAACCTCCAAAAATGATATATTATTCAAATACTCTTTTTTTTTTTTAATAAAAATGCTAATGGAAATGTTAAAATGCACATAAATTAAAACGATCCTAAATTAGGATTAATATCACATTAATGAATTATAATCCCACATTCATTAAGAAAAAGTGGCATTTCAATATTTGCTCTTGTTAATAAATTTAATACAATAAATGAAAGGGATACATTTTGAGATTCAATAAATATTTGATATAATCTTAGGCTGTAACATTTTAAAATATTCAAAAGTAAAGTAGGAGATCTAGATGCATTTGAATTCTTTGTTACTGCTTTATGTCTTTTTATAAAATCTTTTCTTTTCATTTATTGAAGCGCTAAATACAATTTAAATTGGTGAAGAAAGCGATAGAGCTTGTTCTGAATAAAAGTGATTCCAAGAGAACACAGTGTCTTTTGAGTTTCTGGGGAGTTTGTTTCCACAAGACAGTTTTTTTTTTGTTGTTTGTTTTTTTAATTTTTAAAGGAACAAGTATTTGAAATCTCATGGTGCAATAAGTAGACATATATTGGTATTTAAATAACTGAGTTAAATAAAAAATGTGCACTTAAGCAGTATTTTACAACTAGAATTCAATGACTTTTTTTTTTAGAAAAAGCAAACTCAAAATATAAATTCATGTTTTATTTTAGTTTTCTTTTAACAGGATTCAACATAGCATAAAAAGAAGCACCATGTACCAGACCAGTCCTGTCTCCTTCTTGAGAGTAAAATGAATATTTTAAACCCAGGGAGTCTGCACCTACCAACATGTTTCAGGTGGGGCAGGTGTTCAGTGAATATCTGTTGCCATGACCCAAGATGGAGCTGGATCCCTGCTGCAAAGTTTTGATTTTTCAAAGTGTTCCCACTTTTGGAAAACGTGCTGCCCTGCTCTGGCCCAGGTGTTCTTCATAAAATGGGAATGATTTTCCTGGACCAGAAGGGTTGTACAAAACAAAGTAAAAAAACATCCTAGACCAATATAAGATTTTAATGTACATCGGATTATTAGAATTCTTTTTGTTTTTATAAATATAACAGGCAGATTTTAGTTGAATTCTGAGTTTACCACGCTTGAATAAAAAATATGAACCTTGGGGAAGTTATTATGTGCTTTGGCAAACCTCCTTTTTCTCATATTTCATATGAAATATTTCAATTCATTTATTTTTTGGTAAAGATTAAGGGAATTATATGAGAAGTGATTCACATAATTCTTGGCATACAGAAGATAGCAAACCATAAAAGGTAGCTAACAATATCAATTTTAAAGAAATGTTCTAATAAATTGATACATTGTTGTTATATTCTCCTTGATCTTTTTTATCATTCTAAATGCATGTCAGTTGATACTAAATAGGTCAAAGTATTATTATTATTATTTTTTATCTTCACCTGAGGACATTTTTCCATTTTTTTGCTTCAGGTAGAATGGGAGGGAGATAGAGAAAAAGAGAGAGAGAGAGAGAAACATCAACGTGAAAGGGACACATCGAGTGGCTGCCACCCGCACGACCAACCAGGGCCGGGAACAAACTGCAACCAAGGTACATGCCCTTAGCGGGAACCGAACCCGGGTCTCTCCAGACCGCAGGCCGATGCTCTAACCGCTGAGCCAAACCGGCCAGGGCTCAAAGTACTTTTTAATTGAGTTTATTAGAGTGACACTAGTTAACAAAATTATGCAAGTTTCAAGTGCACGGTTCTACAACAGATTATCTGTACTCTGTATTGTGTGTTCACCACACAGTCTCATACCATCACCATTTATCCCCCCTATACCCTCCTTCAACTTTCTCCATCCCTCACCTCCCTCCCCCACCCTGACAATAACCACACTGTTCCACACTGTTGCCTGTGTCCATGAATATTTTTCTTTTTTTTCTATTTTGCTCAGTCTCTTCCCCCACCCCACCAATCCCAACAGCTATCAGCCTGATCTCTGTCTGTGAGTCTGTCCTTATTTTGTTTAGTGTTCAAACTTATCTGTATGAATTCCATTATGTTTTATTTTGATTTATAAACATACAGTTGCATAGACTCTTTGTATAGCTACTGTTAGCAGAAATTGATGAGATTACAATTAATGTAAAAAGAACCAACTTGAGCCCTGGCCGGTGAGGCTCAGTTGGTTGGGCATCGTCTTGTGCACTGAAAGTTTGCTGGTTAGATTCCCAGTCAGAACACATGCTCTGGTAGGGGGTGTGCAGGAGATGGTCGACTGATGGTTTGCTTTTTCATCTTCACTTGCATCAGTATTTCTCTCTTCCTCTTCCTTCCTTGCTGTCCACCCCCCCAAAAAAAAAAAAAAATCTTAAAAAAAAGAAAAGAACCAACTTGACATTCAAGTAGGAGGCAGTTTAAAAAAGTAAGGTTGTATCACTAACCAATGTCACTTTTCATTTTAGCTACACACAGACCTGGATCCTGGAAGCAAAAAAATCAAGTATATCCTATCGGGCGATGGAGCTGGGACAATCTTTCAAATAAATGATATAACAGGAGATATTCATGCTATAAAAAGACTTGACCGAGAGGAAAAGGCTGAGTATACCCTAACAGCTCAGGCAGTGGACTGGGAGACCAACAAGCCCCTTGAGCCTCCTTCTGAATTTATTATTAAAGTTCAAGACATCAATGACAATGCGCCAGAGTTTCTTAATGGACCCTATCATGCTACTGTGCCGGAGATGTCCATTTTGGGTATGTATGCTTCCAATTTTGCAGAACTATAAAGTCATCTCTCGAATAGCTCCTGGCATCAAGGAAAATGTGTTGCTGAATAAAAGACATTTATTACTGTCTTATCTCTAATTTGCATTTCCAAATCCCCCTTTTTGGCCTCAGTGCCACAGCTCAATAGCTTTAGTCCCTTCATAATAGGAACTGACGAAGCGGTTTCATTACAATGTCTCTCCTTCCATGACAGTACTTCAATAGGCGGAATTTGTATCCCTTGCATAGGCTTGGAGTTGCAGTATTGTTACTGAGGAGGATTATCGAGATTTGTTCCGACATGCCAGACTAGTCCTATGGATATTTGCTGGATGTTTAATTATTTGTGTATATTTGTATGCAATCGCAGCACATAGAGAAATAGAGAGCTGTCTAGGTCTGTGGTTAGCCAGGTATTGAATGGAGCCAGTAGGTCAAGTTTGGAGTGGATTAGGAATCACAGTTACTGGACACTTTCCAACTGCTATGTGTGGCTGTCTTACCTTAACTGAACGTTTTTTTAGGAGCATTACCATCACCAAAGACCCACTCCCAATTTTTCAGAGCCATTGAAGTATCTATTACATTTTACAGAGCAGCATATATTTCAAAACATCATTTTCTACTCTTTTCCCCCCTCTTCTTTCTGAATCTACTTATCTTTCCCCAAACCCCTGACTTGATCCTGGGGAAAAAAACAAAAAACAAAACAAACAAACACTTGATCCCAGACTTTGTACTAGAGAGCTCTTTCTTATGTGACAAAATTAGTGGGCAGCATCCAAAAAATAGAACATAAAATCCCAAAGTCATTCTTATGTACGGAATACAGACCTTACTTAATTTGAAAGACAACCTATAAGGATACATACGTCAAAATCAAAATGCAACAAAGCACATAAATTTGAAGCAGGTGAACATGGTGAAGCAAATAAGCACAAGGAGACATCATTTCAAGGCCAGAATTACGTGAGCACCTCGGCTTTATTTGATATCTTCTTCTTTTTTTTTTTTTTTTTTTTAATCCTCACCGAGGACATTTTTCCATTTTTTGTTCAGGTAGAGTGGGAGGGAGAGAGAGGAACAGAGAGAGAGAGAGAGAGAGAAACATCGATGTGAAAGGAACACATCGAGTGGCTGCCACCCGCACAACCGACCAGGGCCGGGGACAAACTGCAACCGAGGTATGCGCCCTTAGCGGGAACCGAACCCGAGTCTCTCAGGACGACAGGCCGACGCTCTAACCGCTGAGCCAAACCGGCCAGGGCTGATATCTTCTTCTTTACTTTCCATATGACTTTGGTAGAGATACCCATTGCAGCATGAACTCAAAATTGATTGCAGGGTTTTTTGCATTTTACCCAAGTATTTCTCCTGCCAAGACACAACTTTGTCTATTTCTTGTGCAAGAAATTCTACTTTTATTTCTTTTTTTCTTCTTATCAGAATCACATAGCTCTGCAGTGGTCGGCTGAAATGACACTTTTTCTAGGGAAGCCTGTATGGCTTTCCTGTAGGCACTTAACTGTCCCCCATGATCATCCCCACCAAAAGAAATCCACAAACAAGCGAAAACATCTTCGTATGTCTACTCCTTTAAATTCTGACATGCAAACAGAAACTGAGAAACAGTATTTCTTTTTTTCTTCTTATTCTTATTTGGTCAATACATTTAGGGCAGAAAACTTGCCTTGTTCATTTTTTCATCCAGGTTTGGGTAACACAGTTGTAAAGAACTACCTACAATACCCAAAGAATCCTGTATTTTAATTGCTAACAAATGGTGAAGAGGGAAGTTGTTATTTTTGCCTTGTTATTATGATTTCTACATCTTAATGGCCAAGTCTATATCTATTCATTGTAAGTGTGTCAGAGGCTTCCATTTCTGTGTATGAGTCTTGTGTCTGATAAATATTCTGAGAAAGAAGTTCTCTCCTCCAACTTTTGTAGACTCCAAGGTTAATTTCAGCTAAGAAAAGGGTTGCAAAGATATTAACTGCATTATGCAACGTGTGTGTATGTGCACCTGTACATAAACAGTATTTAATATTTTTCTATCTAAATAATTTTTATTAATAAGAGAGTGCAGAATAAAAGAAAAAACCTACATTAATATACATAGTCATTTTCTTTAAAAAAAACCTTCTTTTTATATCTCTTTCAAAAACTGCATGGATTGTGCTACAGTTCAAAGTGTGGGTTTTGAAGTTAGATAGATCAAGTTTTGAATCCTGGTTCCATCCCTTATTATCTGGTTGACTTTGAAGTTCAGGGAGGTTAAATTATTGCTTATTTTTCTTAGCTACAATGCGAAGGTAATAATTTCCATCTTGCTTTCATTGTGTGAGAATTGTGTGAAAACATACAGGATTGAGGTGTGCCATAAAGAAAATAATAATAAGGCATCCAATAATTGGTTGTTGTTGTGGTTTTCAAAAATTATTTTGATTAATCTATTCCGCACCGCACATGTGGACCTTTCCTTATGTATTGACTTTATGCACTAGGGGTCTGGTTACTGTTTGACTCCAGACTCTGGTTAAAGGAAGCACAGGCAGCTGCACTATGTTATTGTCAAATGTGAATCATTCTCTTCATTTCTCATGAAGGTGAAAATCAGGATGAAGGTCGCTACTCTCTCCTTTCTCTTCCCGTTACCACAGTTCTCTGTCAACCTGTCTCTTCTCTCCCCTTCTTCCTCTTCCTTTTTCTTCCTTTGCTACTGCAGAAATGCCAACACCTGCACCTATGCCTCAAGGAACGCCAGCGAGGACTGGGGATCTCATTGTGCAAAAAGTGGGAAATAAAATTCTAATTGAGAAATTGATCAATATTAAATTGAAATGAGTGTGATTGTCAAGACCTGTCTGCCAGTTGACAAGCTGTCAAGACAAAACACACACATATATATGCTTAGATGGCAGTCCAAGTATTTTAGAAATATCTTATTTGGGAGCTAGAGTACAGCTCTTTTATATTCGACTGAATGGCAGAACTCGATGAGAATTCGCTTTTATAGTAATACCACATAAAGAGCAACATGCGAGCTTGTGTGATTTTCACTGTGGGTACAAAGCCAGCATTGTTGAAGTTGACTATTCAATGAAAATTTACCTATATTTATTAATTTCCAGATATGTTAAATAGATATTTTTAATGCTATTGGATATCAGGGTGAGGGGTGTTTAACTGATTTTATGTCTATACCAGGATTAGGGTAAACTCAGCTTCTTATTTTATTTTAACATAGAATCTCAGATTGTTTGGCTGCAGATTTGCCTTCTGTTGGCAGAAGGGCATAAACCGTGTCATCTCACTTTCTCACTGTGTGAAATGTGCATAATAATCTACCTAAAAACCTGTGTTTGGAAAAATTCAATGATAATTTTTAAAGCATTTGGCATAGCATAGAGCTGGTACCCAATAGACACTAGTTTCATTACAACTGTCCATTTGTGAGTTTTACTAGCGTGGCTCAGTGAATTGCTGGTATGGCATGAATGCTCGACAGCCTTAACTTCATTTTTCACAAATGTGCATATTGGGATGAACTCCATTTTATTCAAATAGGCAGAGTAGTGAAGATAGAAGTCAAAAGATGAGGAAGCCAAGTATGGAACCCCCTCCCCAACCTTATCTGCAGGGGATATACTTCAAGACCCCCACTGGATGTCTGAAACTGAGAATATTGCCAAACCCTGTATATACTGCTTTTTCCTACACATACGTAACTAGGGTAAAGTTTAATTTATAAACTCGGCACAATAAGAGATTAATATCAATGACTAACAAGAAAATAGAATAATTTTAACAATATACATTAACAATTCTGTAAATCTGCTGTCTCTCTCTTAAAATATCTGGAATGTTTTCTTTAATATTTTCAGATGGCGGCTGACTGTGGGTAACTGAAACCCCACAAAGCAAAACTGTGGATAAAGGGGGGCTGACTTCTGTAGTGCTTAAGCCTGTAGGCATTACTGCATTGTTGAGTGCACAGATGTATAAAACATGATGCTCAAGATTTTCTGAGTTTACTTTTAGATTCAGGGCTCCTCTAATAATGATCAATATGTAACGAGAAGTTGCTACATGCCAGAAGCTATGGCAAATGCTTCTAATATTCCCAACAATCCTCCAACGTTAGTACCGCTATTGACTTCCCTACTTCTCATTATTTTTAAATCAGAAAAATGGGGGACAGAATAGTGAATCCAAATGCAGATATTCAGAGGAGGAACTGGGGTTTAAATCCAGACATCCTACTATACCTCCCATGGGTTTAACTAGTTAGTGTGACTAATCCATGCTAATATCTCTGAGGAACTGTGTATATGAGCACTGTCATTCTGCTGGGTCTTTGTAATAGTTAATGTTTTTCCAAGGTAGGAGGACTTCTGTGGTCAGCATCCTTTGCAGACTAAATTGAAAAGCTGGCATGGGATTTGGACAAGGAGACCTTTGAGAGAAATGTCACACAACTGTCAAGATAGGAATAAAAGCACTTAAAAAATGTAAGAACAATACACATAGGAATTTAAATAACAATCACATTAATTAAGGACCATGTGGTGAATGACTGTGGCTGAAGTGCTGTTAGTATAATAAAGGTAAGGACTAAAAAGAGTAACTGGGATTGGCTCCAGATAATGATGAAGGAGAACAACACACTCTCCACCAAAAAATAATAGTTGAAATATCAAAAATTCAAGAGATGAGTTAGTCAAATATATTTTTAAGGGGCAATTCTCACTGCCTTCCAAAGACTTATAACTGAATAGGTTATGGTAGTCAGTGCACAATGCACAAGTGAACTTACTCTTCTTGAAGGGAAACTCAGCTGAAAGGAAAATGTTCAAATTTGAAAATAATTTCAGGCTTTTTCCTTGTATGTGCTATTCTCATTCTTCTATCTTCTCTTATCATTAATATTATGACTTTTTGTGTGTGTGTGTGAATATATCCTTTTATGGCAAATAACCTTGAAT